CCCAGAAACATTAATAACTTTGTTTTCATGCACAGACTTCACTCCTCCTCTTTGGAATCTTGGGGAGTACCCTGGGCTGTCACACAGGCCCCAAGTAGCCACAGGCACCAAAGAAAAGCTCAGCTATTGTCTTCCACTTATCCAAAATACTGTACTAAATCTGCCTTTCCCAATCAATGACAAGAGTGGTATGAGATTGTAAATAGTGGGTGTCAGTCCTGGGTACACATTAGAATCACCTGCGGGATGGATGCAAAACATTGAAGCTACGTCTTTCCCTAGAGCATCTGATTTTCATTTCATTAACTTAAAGAGGCAACACAATCCTGCTCTTCCACTTTCTATTTTTTTAAAGATTTATTTGAGAGTGGAGGGGAGGGGAAGAGGGAGAGAATCCTCAAGCAGACCCCCCTCGCCGAGCACAGAGCCCCATGTGGGCTCCATCTCACAACCCATGAGATAATGACTGGAGCTGAAAGAGTGGGACACTCAACTGACTGAGTCACCCAGGTGACCCTGTTCTCCCACTTTCTAACTAAGCCACATTGGGTGATTCATATCACTTTCCGAGGCCTCAGTTTCCTTATCTATGATGTGGGGGTGATAATACTTGCCTCCCAGGGGGTGGTTAAGTTAAGCAAGGTGTCTGGAAGCCTAGTAAATGCTGTCTCAATTGGAATGTGAACCAAGAGCCTTCGGAAGAGGGATTTCCTGGGAGCCCAAAGGCCTGGAAGACTATTTGGAAGAGTTGGATTTGCCTCCTTAAGAAGGAATGTTGACACTTGGGTGGGTGGAGAGGCGAAGGGACCACTCTAAGACATAAGCAATCAGGACCCCTGCCCTGGGCCCTGACTTTACAGGACTTTGCCCTGGCTTTCCTCTGTCTGCGCCTTGCCCCCCAGGGCAAGGAGGCCATAAGGAACGAGTGCCATCCCCCTCCCCAAGAGCCCATGTTCCCATCGTCTAGTTCATAGGTCACGCACCAGAAACCAGCCTGAGCAGCCTGGGTCTGCTTCTTTTGTATTCTCCAATTGGGTCTGCTTCTTTTGTATTCTCCAATCCAGTCCTCCTGAGAGGGGACCACACTTCCAGTTTGCCACTCTAGCCCCATGGGGTGCCTTAAAGGAGGCTATTTATTAAAAGGCATGGGGACAGACCCTGGACTTGAAGGCTGGAATTCTACAGACATGTGCATGAGGCCTTTCAGGGTGTAGGCAGACCAGGGGTGGGAAGGGGCAGGGGCAGGCCACAGGCCAGGGGCTTGCATGCGTTCTCTTGCTCCAGACCACACAAATGTTAGAAGTAGCTCTAACACCAGTGTTCATTTTATAGCACTCCATTAAACTGAACATTTACGTTTTAGTATTTTTCTGGTATGTTTGTTCTCATTATTGAATTTAAAATATTTTTAAAAATCAGGGGCACCTGGGTGGCTCAGTCGGTTAAGCGTCTGCCTTCAGCGCAGGTCATGATCCCAGGACCCTGGGATCCTGCTCCCTGCTCGATTGCATTGGGCTCCCTGCACGGCGGGCAGTCTGCTTCTCCCTCTCCCTCTGTCTGCTGCTCCCCCTGCTTGTGCTCTCTCTGTGTCAAATAAATAAATAAAATCTTAAAAAAAAAAAATCAAACGGTGCTTAGCTCCCAGCCTGAGACCTCATAAATGCTTGAAAAATATGAGTGACGCAAAACCCAAACATACTCACCGCAGCTCAGATGAGCATCTCGCTTCGTAGCAGGATCGCAGCTAGGAAGGAGACTGCCAATTTCTTCCAGTTTAAACCAGTCCCTTTTGGATAAAGGTCCATTGTCTTGGGTCTTCTCCCTCCCTAGTCTTCTCCCTGCATCCCTAGAGGCCTCTGGGCAGGAGGAGGCTAACAGACATTACAGTGATGGTGAGGGTAGGTGAGATTGGATCTGTGTGTTCTCCACCGCCCCTCCCCACCCCCGCTTCTGCTGACTTGCTCTGGCACAGATTCACCACTCCTGATTTTTGAGTTTCAGCCTCTTACCTCCCTGCACCTGCTGCAGAGGTGCCTACAGCTGGTCACACACTGACGCTTGGGCCAGGCTCCACTGTGGCTCTTGTCAGGCTGCTGATTCTCTGAAACTCAGCAGCAACTTCCATCCACCTTTCAGCTTGAACATCAGGCCCCTCTGAAAGCCCTGCTAAGTTACCCCAACTCCAGCGTAACCCCAGGCCTTTATGCTACTCCTGAATTCTCAGCTACCTTGTCATCTTGTATGGACAATGAGAGGAAAAATGGGAGGGAAAAACAGTACACAGAGCTCAGTAGAGGTATTTCACATTGCACGTTGGTTTCCTCAGTCAGTTCTCACAAGCCAGTAAGACAGGCATTTTAGCTGAAGTTTCCTGTCCCACCCTAGTGTTACAGGCTGAACCTGTTCCCCCCCAAAGTCAAGTGTTGAAGCCCTAACCCTCAGTGTGACTGTATTTAGAGATGGGGCCTTTAAGAGATAGTTAAAGTTAAATGAGGTCATAAAGGTGAGGCCCTAATTTGATAGGACTGGTGTCCTATAAGAAGAGGAAGAGATACCAAAGCTAGCTCTCTCTATCGCCTCCACCCCCACCAAACACAAAGAGGAAAAGGCCATGTAAGGACACAGGGAGAAGGCAGCCATCAACAAGCAAAGGAGAGAGGCTTCACCAGAAACCAATCCTGCTGGCACCTTGATCTTGGACTTCCTTCCAGCCACCAGAACTGTGAGAAAATATCTATTGCTTAAGCAACCCAGACTGTGGTATTTTGTGATGATGGCCCAAGCAGCCTAAGACACCTAGAAATCACAATGTAATACCTTCTAGGAACCCAAGCATTCTTGGCTCTGAGCATGTCAGGTGCCCCGGGTCACTACGGCTTAGTTCCTGGGCCTCGCTGCCCACTGGTTACAGTCCCATGCTTTTCCCTGCCTTTATTCTCCAATCAGGTTCCAGCTTCCTTCCTTTATTCCCTCAGTCTTATTCCCATATTTCTTTTGGTACTTACCGTGTTGTTCCATTGGCCCAGGAACCCATCTACTACTCAAAGATACTCTTTAGGAGGTTGTTTTGCATCATTTCTCCATTAATGTTCCCACTTCAAGCAGCTTCAGACATGGACTATAAATTGTCCCTGTGGGCATATGTGGGAGTTCTCATGCCAAGGAAGGAGATGGAGTTTTCCCTGTAAAGAACCAAGTGCTCCTTTTTGAGGCTGAGCTGACTCTGAGAAGGGCTGGATCCTGTCACATTCTGGAAGTTTCCTGGGAGTCCATCCCCAGCCTCAGGGATTCATCCCAGCATCAAGTTAATAAGCCTAGGATTGAAGAGAGGGTTTTCAAAGCAAAGGAGCCAGTATAGATCTCCATGGAAGGGCCACAGATTTTGAAGTCAGATTCCTGTGGGTTTGATTTCTGGCTGTGAACCCTACTGGAGGATCATAAGCAAGTTATAACATCTTTCTGAACTGCAGTTTTCTCATCTGTTAAATGGAAATAATGAACCTTGCTTTGCAGGATTGTAATGAAGATTTCACATTCTTTTTGGAAATGACTGGTTTGGGTTTTTATAGGCATTTATTCCATTCACCCTATTCTTCCTGAGTCCATCTGGCCAACAAACCTGAACGGTAGTTCTCACCTTGCATATAGCGTTTGTGTGGTGTGGTGGGGAGTGAGGGGAGGATGGAGGGATAGATGCCTTTTTAAAAATCTGATTTATTGTATTTTGTTCAGGAAATATCCTCTCAGAAAATGCAGACTAACTGCAATGTCTACCCCAGCACATCTTTAGGAAGGCAGAACCATTCTCCAAATAATGCATTAGGGAGGAATCATCCCCAGACTCAATATCAATGACGTTGGCAATGGGGATTTTTTTTTTTTTTTAATGTGTGAGTGAATGAATAAACGTCTTCTTAAAGGCCTGGTTTTGGAACATTCCCAGCTCCCCTGGGATTGCTTACTCTCCCACTCCCTTTGGGCTGGTTTAGAGAGTCAGAATTGAATGTAATGAGTCCAGCAACTCAGGGTCTGCAGGAAATGCCCTTCAGAAACAGATACTTTCTGAAGTCATTTTTCTGGTTGTTTCTCAGACACTTGGTGATACCATCTTGGGTATGTTATGCCTGGCAGTGGGGACATGTTGCAAAGTACACCCGCATCCTACCCCCCTGCCTTATTTTGTTATTTTGAAATCTAAGGGCAGCACAGGGAGGTGAAAGAAAGAACACAATGAAACCACAGAACTCTGTTTTGTGTGTGTCCACACGTGGGGACTTGCAGTCTGTCCAATGTGGGCCATGCAGGGGAGAAGTATGATTCCACTGGTGTAGAGGAAATAGCTGTGGATTTAGAGCCCAAAAGATTGGGAATTTAAATTCTGTCTCCTAACTGGTTATGCAAACTTGGGCAACCAGTTTACCTTCAGAAGCCCTGTTGCTTTGCATATAAAAGGTAAATGGTTAACAAAGCCATTCCAGCGGGTGTGGTGAATAAGTACTCGGGGATGCAAAAGGGCTTAGATGAAGAATAAAGTATTAAATATATATTTTACCAGAACTCGGGCTTAGAGTCAGACAGATGGGCTGTGTTACACTACACTATTGTCCATCAATACCCAGTGCCACTCCCTGGAGTCAGGCTCGGTCATGTGACTTAGCCAATGTAAACCCAAGTGCTCCCTCAATTCCAAGGGGGACTTTTCAGGCTCATTAGCAATGCCCCAGCTCTCTTCCCCCTGCCCCTGTGATGAGAAAGCTTGTGTGAGGAGGAGCCCTGGGACATTAGGGCCCTAAGTCATTAGAGTAAGCACAACTCCCATGCTGTTCCTTGATGGGTTCCTATCACCAGCTGTTTTAGCTCTTTTAGGGATTTGAAGATTTGGAGATTTAGGGATTGACTGTTATTGCAGGAAAACTGGCCTCACGGATACACCTGGGTACTGTTTCTTTATGCCATTTAATAGACAAAAGAAAAACAACACACAAAGAAAACATACACAGTTATACTGAACACAGCACAGATTGGGGAGAGCCCAGGGACAGCCCTTGCTGGGTGCTACTTGCCGCCGCTCTTGGGAAGGGGCCGGTAGACCCCCACGACCACAGCGTGGTCCCGCTCGTAGGGCTCCAGGGTCAGTTGCTCTTGAGGCTTTAAGTTCTCCTGCTGCAACTTCCTCACCTCAGAAGCAAACACTGCCTCAGCAGATGCAGTGGAGTCGATGCAGTTGGCCTTGATGGAAATGAGAAAGTGGCCCCCGTTGCGCAGGAAGGTGTGGGCATTCAGAGCTACTATCCGGGACTGGTCAGGCTGGGCCACATCGGCAAAGATCACATCCACCATCCCTATAAGCATGCGGTACTTGAGCGGGTGCCGGGCATCTTCGAGAACCGGGATGATGTTGGTTCGCTTCTTGGCCACGTTAACCAGATCACGGCCAGCGCGGTGGGAGAACTCAACTGCGTAGACCAGGCCGTCCGGGCCGATGATGTCGGAGACATGAGAGACAGTGGTCCCTGAGGCAGCGCCCAGGTACAGCACTTTGGACTTGGGCTTGATGTGGATCTGGTCGACCCCGCCCAGGATGGCCGCTGCCAGCTTGGAGCGGAAGGGGTTCCATGTGCGGTACTCTTGTTTCACACCGCCCTCGGTCACAGTGACCCGCCGCTCGCCATACACCGAGTGGCCTGGCACCATATTGAGCGTTACCAGCGCGTCTTCCGCTCCACGGTAGATGAAGACACCCTCATGCCTGTGTGGCTCCACCGACACAGCATTGGCGCCCTTCCTGCGGCGGTTTTTGTTTTTGCCCACACCGCCGCGCCGCTGCCCGCTGCCACCACGGTCCCTACTGTCCCCCCCCCCGCGCCCCCGGCCCCGGCCGCCGCCGAAGCCACGCGCCCGCGCCCCAAAGCCGCCCTTGCCCCCAGGGCCGCCATCGCCTCCTCCTCCCTTGCCTGCGCCCCCCCGCCCCCCGCCCCCCCCGCCGCCCCAGCTGCCACCCCCGCGGCCACCCGACCCACCCCCGCGAGAGCTTGAGGCAGACTTCATGGCGCGCCCTGGGCACCCGGGTGGGTGGCGAGCGGTGATTGTAAAGGTGTCGCAGATAACTGGTGGCGGCTGTCAGGGGTTACTAGTGGCTTGGAGTTGTCAGGAGTCACAGGTGGTTCTGGATGGCAGTCCTGGCGTGGAACAGTGGCGACAGCGGACGCTGCTGGCCTGGCCAGCCACAGCAGGAGACCGGGACAAGGTGTGCGGCGGTCGGGAAGAGCTTTACCGCAGTGCCCGCAGCCCTGGAGCCGCCCTTTGACGCAGAGACCGGCGTGATTACATCATACCCGCTTCGGGACCCTGCAGCTCCGGAAGCCCCTCTTCTAAGCCGCGAGCAGACGCAACCTGCTTCCTTTTAACTCTTCCCCTTCCTCCCCTCCTGCTTTCTTAGGGACCCTTTGCACTTCTCCTGGGGCGCGGAGAAGGAAGCGTCTCCGCTGCAGAGGAGGATGAGAGCAACGGCTTTAGTCCTTGCCGTGCCACTTGCTCGCTGTGTGGTCTTAGGAAGTTACCTGACCCTCTCTGAAATTCTTGTTTCAACTTGGGCAAGTTTTTTGAACTGAGTTTCAACATCCCATCTGTAAAACAGAACCTACCTCAGAAGTTTGTTTTAAAGTGCTACATACACTTATCCCAGCCATGGCGCATGATAATTACTGTGTTAGGTTTTTTTGTTTTTTGTGTTTTTTTAATGTATTTCCTTTGGTCTTTTGTTGAGGTATAGTTTACACACAATAAAATGCACCAATTTTTAAGTAAATGTATTGCCTCTTGGAACTTTTGCTACTCATGCAAGAGTGGCTCCTGCACCCTTATACAATGTTGATGAGAATGCAAATTGGTACACATATTCTTTTTTTTTCTTAAGATTTTATTTATTTATTTGACAGAGAGAGACACAGCGAGAGAGGGAACACAAGCAGGGGGAGTGGGAGAGGGAGAAGCAGACTCCCGGCCGAGCAGGGAGCCCGATGTGGGGCTCGATCCCAGCACCCTGGGATCAGGATCTGAGCCGAAGGCAGACGCTTAACTGACTCAGCCACCCAGGAGTCCCACCAATGATGATAATTAGAACTGCTAGAACAGGAGTTGTGACAATGGTAGTGATAATGATCATTGTCAGAGAAGTGGCAGAGGTGAGATGAAGTAGACCAACCAATCCAAGGAAAATATTTAGAAGATAGAAGTCACAGGGCTTTCTGATGAACTGGATGTAAGAAGTCAGAAAGAGGAAAATTCCAAGCCAGAGATTGCCAAAGTATAGTGCCTCCCCTTAAAAAAAAATTGTTTGAGAGAGCATGCGAGCGAGTGCACAAGCGGGGGGGGGGAGGGGGGGGAGTGGGGAGGGGGCAGAGGAAGAGGGAGAAGCAGACTCCCTGATGAGCAGGGATCCTGACACAGGGTTCGATTCCAGGACCCCGGGATCATGACCTGAGCCAAAGGTAGATGCTTAACTGACTGAGCCACCCAGGCACCCCCGTGCCTCCCCTTTTTGGTTAATACTCTACAAGGTGCAGCCCTGGTTGTTCTCTACTTAGCTCTGCTTTCTTCCATCAACTGTGCTAAATCCCAGAATTTGTTCTGGGAATATGTAACAGCAAGAAATTGTTGATTCTTCAGTGTAAATGGGGACACATGGGCTCGAGCCCTAAATCCTGTAGCACACCTCAGCAGGAGCCAAAATCTCATGTTTATTCCTGAATTCTAGTCTATGTTTCAAAAACCCTGCTCTTTCAGTCTGCAGCATCTTTTGAGCATTTAAAAAAAAAACACTGGACAGCACAAAAGGACAGAAAAACGGATATAATGTGGAGGCTTGAGCATTCAATCAGAACCTTGGACAGCGACACCAAATGGGACATTTTAGCTACTGTGGCTTGGGACCCGCCCATGAGCGGGGGAAGGTGGTGTATGTAGGTGATATAAGCAACCTGTGGACCTCCTTATTAGTGGAACAAAGTGCCTGCTCCAGAGAAAGACAAAACGTACCTGAAGAGCAGGGCAAATGTCAGGCGGGGTGTACTGAATGTGCACCCACCAAAGCTTTTATTTCATCCTGGACCAGAACTCTTCCTGTTTCAAATTCACAGACAGCAACACCAGGTGTGGTTTTCTCAGAGGGCCGAAATGCCTCCTTAATAGGGGCCATAAGCTTATGTGTTGGAATGTGGACAAGCAGTTAAAGAGTGCAATGTACAGTTCCTGAGGTGGATGATTGTTATAAAACATTCTCCTTAGAAATTTCTGCTCTCCGGGCACCTGGGTGGCTCAGTCGTTAAGCATCTACCTTCGGCTCAGGTCATGATCTCAGGGTCCTGGGATCAAGCCCCACATCGGGCTCCCTGCTCAGCGGGAAGCCTGCTTCTCCCTCTCCCACTCCCCCTGCTTGTGTTTCCTCTCTCGCGCTGTCTCTCTCTGTCAAATAAATAAATAAAATCTTTAAAAAAAAATTTCTGCTCTCATTACAAATTGAGGAGTGTTGTCCAAAATGATGAACTACCCTTGGTGCCTTGGTTTGGATTTCCCCCAGATCAGACCCTGTAATGGTTAATTTTATGGATCAACTTGACTGGACCATGGAGTGCCTGGTTGTTTGGCCAAACTTATCCTGGTGTGTCTGTGAGCGTGTTTTGGGATGAAATTAACATTTTACCAAGTAAACTACATAAAACAGTCTGCCCCCGATAATGTGGGTGGGCCTTATTCAATCCGTTGGAGGCCTAAATAGAACAAAGGGCTGACCTTTCTAAGAGTAAGAGAGAATTCTCCTGCCTGACAGCCTTTGAACTGGCACATTGACTTCCTGGTTCTATAGCAGCTCCCTGGCTACAGACTTAAACTGCAACACTGGCTCTACAGATTTTGAACTCACCAGTCTCTATTATTGTATGAACGATTTCCTTGTAATCTCTCTCTCTATATATATAGATGTAGATGTGGATATAGATCTAGGTACAGATACAGATCAATCTATTTATCCTGTTGTTTCTATTTATCTAGAGGACAGACCCTCAGAGAAGAACATGGGTCCAGGTGGTTTTTTTGAGAGGTGATCCCAGGAAGCACACATAGGGGATGGGGAAATGAGACAGGAAGATAGAAAGGCTAAGATAGGGTACATTAATTAGAAGATTACCACAGTGGGAGATGAGGGCTCAAATGTTCTGAGCACCCTCTATGAAACTGTGTGGAGGGCATCTCAGAATTGTTCTACCACAGGCTGGGAGACTAGGGCATTAATTCACCATTCTCCCTTTCTCTATTGTTGGGAGTTGTTTTGGGGGCATTAACTCTCTTGCCCTTTGAGTTACTCCTGTGTGGCTCAGGAAACTCCTCTGATGCTGCAGAAAGCCATAAGGCAGAGAGGCATGCACTTGGGGGAGGGAGATGCTCTCATGGTGGAATCTGTTTATCACAGCTGCAGATGAACTCAGAGCTGGGCCCAAGGGATATTGGATAAGGCACCAACAGTGCATGCTTCACTTGGCTACTCCATCCCATGTACAACCAGAACTTTGTAACTTAGAAAATGTGCATGAGCTCATAAAGCTTAATACATCGGGGGGGAAAATAGCTTATTATATCGGGAAAGAAAGTCATACCATAAATACACTAATAATACCTGTAATACGGGTATTCAACCTAGCAATACAAAACTCTCCTTATTCTTTTTTTTTTCTTTAAGATTTATTTATTTATTTATTTGTGAGAGAGAGAGAGAGAGCAGGCACGCATGAGTTGGGAGAGGGGCAGAGGAAGAGGGAGAAGCAGGCTTCCCGCTGAGCAGGGAGCCCGATACAGGGCTCGATCCCAGGACCCTGAGATCCTGACCTGAGCTGAAGACAGATGCTTAACCGACTGAGCCACCCAGGAACCCTCTCCTCAGTATTTTTCACTCTAGTAGACAGTATCATGGAGGTCTGCAGTTGTATTTGAATAGTTCATTCCTTCGTTGTTTTTATTCAGGGTATTAAAGCACAATCTTCCACAACGAATCCTCTCCATTATGCCTCTAGACCACTGAAGAGGATCCATATCCAACACCAAGAGATCCAACTTTTACCTAAGTTAGTTTAGATAATTCTGTACAACATTGCAGGTATAAGCCTCTGAGGGCACAGCTACTGACACTTTCCAACCTTTGTCTTATCGCTTTCTGTTATGCTATTATTAACATTCCTTCACCACAAGTAAGTATCTGTCAGGCCCCTGTTCCTAGCCTGTTTTAAATGGACTGAGGTGGCTTTCCCAGTGCACTTGCGGTTCATTTCAGAACTGACATATTCAAGAATGTCATGCATTTCCATGTGATTTATTTCATGGAATCTGCTGGGAGGGGTGGTTAGTGATTTCAAACTCTAAATCTAATGAGCCACATCTTCATGAATTTAGAGTCGTTCTTTGGGAGTAATTTCTGTCAACTGGCAATAGCAGTGGGCTACCTCACTGGTGGTGAGGTTTTGGTGGCCCACTCTTCTCACTAGATTTCATACCAGGGCTTGAGGCAGCCTCTACTACACTCTAGCAGACAATTTCTCCATATATCTTCTCCCCCTCCCCCATCCCCCATCAGTTTCATTACATTACTGCTGTCATTTTCAACAATCTGCTAAGGGTTCCAGAGCCACCCTCCCTTATGTATGCAAACCTTGGCAGCTTTCTTAGGTCTCTGTCCCACTGCTGGTGACAGCCTTAGGGCTGCTAAAAACTTAGTTTTCAAATTTTGCTTTTCACCAGAGGCATCCTTACCCAGAATAGGGTTTGATGACTCCCAGAGAACTTTTCTGTCTCCTGGCTTTGATTCCTACCTGGCAAAGCCATTTTTTTATAGCCTGTCTGTTGAGATACTATGGCCTGGGAGCACCCATCAACCAGCAAGACTTCCAGTCCAGTTGAACATGTTCCACCTGTGCATGACCCTAGAATGCTACCGAGGCAAGGACTCATGCCAAGTATTGGCATCTTAAGGTGTCAAAAAACTCTTCCACTAAAATTTTCATCTGGAGCCACTGATAACATTGAAATCTGTCTCATTCCCAAAGTTTCATGAGCAGTGGGTTCTACCTACTCAAAATGCTTCCTAAAGTGATAATGTCATTATATTTTTAAAGATTATTTATTTATTTATTTGACAGAGAGAGAAAGAGAGAGAGGGAGAAGCAGGGGGAGTGGGAGGGAGAAGCAGGCTCCCCGCTGAGCAGGGAGCCTGATGCGAGGCTCAATCCCAGGACCCCAGGATCATGAGCTGAGCCAAAGGCAGACGCTTAACCTACTGAGCCACCCAGGAGCTCCAGGTAATTTGTCATTATGATCCAGACATTTCTCTCTGACAGCCAATAAGAACAACTACAGCCACTTTAAACTTGTGTTTACAGTTGACTTATTATTCCATAAGATACTTCTTATAGTCACGTTCATAATTACATCTGTGACGGGGCCTTAATAGTTAACATGGAGTACACCAGCCCTACTTAAAGACTTAAAAAGATATATGAGCAATTTTGCTCTATTTCTCTCATGCACCATTCCAGAAAATTGCCTAACAAATGACTAGCCATGATTAAGGTAAAACAAGCTGGAAGGCTGTGTAACCTCATTCCCAGTCTCATTAGTATTTAAACAGTCATGCATGAATGGCTTCCCCAACCTGTTTTCTAAAAACCATGGTCCACTTCCAAAGGTGACTCCAGAGATTTGCATCTCCGTCCCCAGGGACAGCCATAGCTGTATTTGATCAAGATGGGCTGGGCTATTATGCAGCAATGTGACCCCCAAATCTCAATGGATTAATGTAACTATGTTTATTTCTTGCTTACTTTTTAAAAAGGATTTTATTTATTTGAGAGAGAGAGAGAGACAGACAGAGATAGCAACAGAGATAAGCAAAAGAGAGAGAGAGAGCATTAGTGGGGAGGAGAGGGAGAAGCAGTCTCCTGCTGAGCAGGAAGCCTGACATGGGATTCGATCTCAGGACCCTAG